TTAGTCTTTTAAGTGCAGTAGCTAATACTTCTTCGAACTTTAAGTCATCTTAAAACTAAAACTTTACTAGTCTACGAAGACAGTTTTATGGAATGGCTATTTCTTGAAAGATTTACTCCTTTTTATCACATTACCACCCCCCCCCCCCGGTTTCGCCCTCCAAGTTGCCATTACCCTGTGTGCTCCCCCATCCAGTGACAAAGCAAGTGTCATGGCTGTCAAAGACCTCATTAGCGTCCGGCAGGCAGGCGGTGTTGACGTAAGGGCTGGCCATATTGACGGGAGTGTCCAGTTTTAACATGGCGATATCGTTGGCGTGGGGACGAACATTATATTGAGAGTGCATGACCAGTTTGGACACACGGCGGTCCTCTTCAGTTCGTTCCCAGTAACGTTGATCGTGCTCTCCGAAACGGATTTTGTAGCCATTGGGATCTCTTGACCTAATGAATTAAAGGATTAAACAAAGAGAAATTGTGTAATAAACTGTCCAACAGCGAGTTTAAAAATTGTTTTTACCAAATTCAGTTTTTTTACAAATATTTTTTTTATTCTAGACAGTAGTTTCAGACTCAAAAACATCAAGCAAAAGTGATTTCCATTGATCTATAAGGAAGTGGTGGGTAGCATCCGCTTCGTGAATGTTGAGAGAACCGTAGTTGACATAAATTGGTTCAGAAACAAACTGCCACCGTCTTGCACCAGTTTATAAAGAGTGCGCTTTTGTGAAAGGTACAGTACAAACCCTTATACTTACTGCCCGAAACAGTGTGCGGCTGTGACGGCCCAGTTTGGAGCAACCAGAGTGGCACCACAAGTGTGGGCGGAACCTCCGTTGGAGTAGAGAAGGCGTAGAGACCCCTGCCACGGCCACGATCCCTTAGCAGCTAAGGAACCGCCAACAATACGCCCCATGTTGGCTCGGAATAGTGGGACACCGCAAACTGTAGGAGGAAATGTAGAATGAGACGATTAATCAACTAAGCGTATGAAAGATATGTAATAATCCATAATATTAATAGTGATGAACTCGTTATTTGGGGGACTGTTCACATAATGACTTTGTCACAACGCTTTACATGAGTAAGGTTTATATGAGGGATGATTTTCTTTTACTTTTTATTTTATTTTATTTATTTATTTATTTATTTATTTATTTATCTATTTATTTATTTATTTATTTTGCTAACCTAATAGCATGAGAAGAAAAACGTGACGCAAGTGGATGATTTCATTTTGAGAAAGACATTTTGAGGTGTATGGTATGATAAAATCACTTCAGTTTTTTTAATGTCGCTTTATTTCCCGTAGCAGTCCATACCTTTGGGTGCCAAGGTGGTGGTTGTCACTACATTAGCGACTGGGGCAACGATTAAGTTCTTAGTCTGGCAAATAACTCCGACGTCTTCGGCGTGACTGCAGTCGTTGGTCCCCCATCTGTAAAGGGAAGTAATATCAAAAATATAGCTCACTGTGCTAGAACACAGTGTAATAGGTGTATTCAATAGCAGTGCTCTTGGACTACACGTTGTGTGCAACATTTGTGTTAACTTGTTATATAAAGGGTCGAGCTGTTTCAGAAACATAATTGAGTTATCTTATTTTAGGATTCACTTCAGTTTTCCGTGAACCTTTTTTACACGCGGAAGTACTATATTTTTCAAATTGACAATTGTCAAACACGCTAGATATAAAATTTTTAGATTTTTACAACAATTTTGTAGAAATGATATGGGACTCCTTGACATGAGATTGTGAAATCAAAGTCACTGTAGCTTACGGGTTCCTGGTGCACTCCATGATGTTGTATTCATTGCCTGTGCATTTGAGTTCGTCTATCCAGATACGACCGCTCCCCTGGCCGTAATAGCCGTTAGCACGTGTGCCTGCGGCCCCTCTGTAATCACAAAGTTTTTAGAAGCTTGAAATATAGAAATAATTTAAACAGTCAGAAATGCACAAGGAGAATAGAAAACCAGAATAAATTAGAAGGAAGGGTACAAGATGAGTATATATTAAGTCAATTTTAATCGAGGTCGTGATTGGAGGGCAGTTTTTATCTTCACCTCTGAATGTAAATTAGCCTGAACATTATAGTATCATACACACCTGAACCCCAGCTCCCTGCATATAATATCTGCTTCTGTCATACCAAAATTATCATCACATATTGTTCCCCATTCCCCGTTGTAGAAGACCTCTACTCTGCCTTCGTTTGGAAGTTTCCCGCCCTCTAACTTCAGTACGACCTGTACCCGTGACTGCCCGTCACCGCCGCTGTCGTCGTCCATAACCAGGGAATTGGAGTTATTACCGGTGTTGATCGGTGCTGAAAGTTAAACACCGGCGACTAATATTTTTCGGTTTGTTCTTCCATTATTTTGTTTCCATTTTTTATATTGGCTGATAATTTCAAGATGCGTGTATTTGGTTTGATACTCATCGCTCACGGTTCACTTTTTACTCGATGCTTTTTTATTTTATGCCATCACTTGAAGTCGTGAGTAATAGATTTAGTTTATATCGTTATATTTATCATCTTTAGCTTACCGTGGCAAAGATTGTCTGCTTCATCGGCGTTATTTCCGCAATCATTATCGCCGTCACATGACCAGCGCGCAGGAATACACATGTTGAAGTGTTGGCACAGAAACTGGTTTGGACGACACGTGGGCACTGCAGGTAGGGAGGTTTATATGGTATAGTAGGTTAATAATAGTAGTATATCAGAAGGAGAATATCAGAATGTTTATGATAAACTCTTACACGATGACTCCTTTTTTTTTTTTTTGAAAAATGAAGCAGGCAGTTTATGTATGGCGGGTTTTCAGAACACAAGTATGTGTTACAAGGTTGTTTCACATCCTTAGTATGATGGATATATGGAGGGTATCTAGCTGATATCCTAGAGCGTAAAAACTAAACCATAAAAATGGACGTTTCCAACAAATCAGGATTGTGCATCTTGACTACTGCCACTATTAGCGGATTGATATTGCGCATTTTTGTTTTTGTTTTTTTTTTTTAGATAAAAAGGATAATCTTCATTTGTGCGTGATAGATAACCCTCGAAATATCGAGTATTAAGTAATTCACATTTATTCCTCGCTACACAATATCAAAATGATCAATTAAAAACCTTTATCCAAGTTTCAAACCTGCATGAACTGCACCTGGACTTATCGTCAACGAATAACTCCACTATTTTTATTTCAAATCCCCGTGTTTGATATATTTATAGCCACCCCGTGCGCATACAAAAACGCTAACTTGTACAACAATGACATAATCTGCGTCAATCAGCCGTGTGATGTAAACTAGAGCCATCACTTACATTTAGCTTGAGGCGATGGTTTGATGCAGTCAACACCGGCATCTTCTTCGTGTGTACAGTCGCTGCTACCTGGACAACATCAATAAAGAACTGCTAAGAAAGGAAAAATATTGGCACGAAATGTTTGCTTTAAGCAAATTATAGTAGCATTTTCATACCTTTCTCTCATCAATGTAATTTCATTTTTTCCTTTCATTCAAAACAATGCGTTTTATTATTTTTTTCTTTTCAAGTTTTGTTTTGATAGAACGAAAATCGTTGCCACCTTTTGCCATTGTGTTCCCTTTTAAACGATATAAAGGCTTACTGCTATTTATATATACTTTTGGATGTTTTGCATCAAAATCAGAAGATACTGATTAATACTACTTCGATAGGAAGCAGTGTCAAGGCTCACCGTGTCTGCCTGGGCATTCGTCTAAAGTGTTCTCGATGTTTTTACAGTTCAAGTCATCGTGATGAATGGGGCCGGTGCCAGCACCATAAAATGCCTGAAATTAGTTGTTACGTGGGTTATGTTTGGTCTTCAGATATCTCTGATAAGCCACAACAATTAACCTTTCCATTTCGTACCTAAAACTACAGATTCACAATTGAAATTTTGATAAATGAAAAAAATGTAGAGCCAAGTTTCAAAGTATAAATGTGCCTTAAAACAATTGCAGTCGCATAAGAATTAAAATATTCTATCCCGTACTTCGATTACCACACTTGTATTTTTACCGCCACAGTCCTATCGGTTTTTCCTACTTTGAAAAGAAATATTTCAAAACAAGTTGAAATTGGGAAAAGCAAAGGAAACTTAGAATCTATAATTTTGTTTTATGGTCCAAGCAGGTGTCCATTACCCCTGTCCTGGCTATGGCCGCTCCATCAAAGCCCAGCTGCTTGCAGGCTACATGGGCGTCGTAAAGAGACCACCTGTCCGAACATACTGTCCCCCAAACACCGTCTCTCCGCACCTCTACACGGCCTTTGTAATGGCTGTTTGCACCCACAAGGCGGATATCATCCCAAACTGAAAAAAAAGGACAGGAAACGTGAAAAGTGTAATAGAGTTGTTTTAAAAATTCAAAGAAAATTGATGTTTAATTTTAAGCACCCTACCGTTGAATTTTACGCCAGATACGCATAATAACGCTGTGCAAATAGATATAAACTGAATCTGAAGTTTCATCGTTGCTGCTAATGGATCGAAGTGAGAGCGAATTTTTCTCTCTCCGATCACAGCTAGGTGTAACAACTTAAGTAACAAACAGTACCCTCAAATGTATCGAGTAATACACGCGCCTTAAAGTTTGGACAGGTTTCACTGATAAATTAACAAAGTGCCTTAACACCAACACCCCACTTACACGCCACCGAAAGATGTAGAAATAGAGGGAAATCATTGGTTTCTATCCCGGAGATTATAAACGTGGGGATTATCTCTTCACGTTCTACGCAAGTCAAGGGCGTGGGCATAGCAACAGCGCCGTTGAAGTGGAACTCAATATCAAGATATCTATTCTTGGATGCTTGAATAAATACGTGACTTACACTGGCGGATTCATCCGGGGTCTAAGGTCGCAATCAGAACAGTGGACTAAATACCCAGTAGTCCGAGGGTCAAATATGGCGACCCACTAAAATTAAGCTTGTCGTCTGATCTGCTAATAGACACTGAATAGATACCCTGTGGATCGACCATATTTGACCCTCGGACTAGTTAATCCACTGCTCTGAATGCGGCCTAATTTTTGGGGGAGAAGGTAAAGTGTGGGTAAAGGTTGGGGTAGAAAAATTTTCCCCTGCATAGTTCAATATTAAGCCTACTGGTACATTCAAGATTATCTTCACTTTTATAGGAGGTATAAGGGGTGGGAGACACGTGACCACCCCCACCCCGCTAGATTCGCCTTATAGCGTGCTTAGGCTGTGGAATATTTACCATTGTATCTATCGGTGCAGGTATTTCATCTGCTGTTCTTTGTTTTACCTAAAGCGTTTGCCTACATGTACGGCAGTATTTTAAAATCAGACAATTAACTTGATCTTTGAAATTGAATGCTAGATTATTTGGGGTTGAATTTTCTATATATCTAAAACGATTTTAGAATCATAGCATACCCCCCCACACACACACACACACTTTTTCCACTTTCATCTTTTTTTCTTTGAAATATTTGAAATCTTTTCTATATGTCACTCCTAGCCTATCCTGCCTATATACATCCTCGATGTGCTTGATATTATTATGAAAAATGTTATCAATATATGTCCCAGAAGTTGGGCTGGACACGTGTGACAACACACCTGCAGCACATAGGTGACACACACCTATAAACCACAACTATAGCAGACATCACGAAATAAACATGTAACCCATCTGCCACGTAATGTTTGGCCTATCTCTCGTCGTTCAGAAACAAAAGCAGTGTAACTAGGAGTCAACCTTCACCTCGTGCGCAAAGGTGTTGTCTCTCCGAAATCTTTAATTATCTCCAACGCGACTTGCTACTGACACGTCGGCAGTTTCGGCTGCCATGTGCCCGCGTTGCCGGGGAGGCTCCGATGTCACACTGATTGGACCTTATCTTCGACCATATAACTCGTACCTCTGTACAAGCAGACAGATTAGACGGGTGGCTGACGGTCTGTCAAGATACCATCCACTCACCAGATGTCGCCTACTCTCGCCGCGACGTTGTTGCTTGCAGCGTGCATTTCAACAGGTAAGGGTTGCTGTAGATACAGACGTTAATGACGTACCAGAATTAAACTGGATAATCCACCTGTGTGTCCATTTGCGTAATAAGATCAAATCTTAACTTGTAATTTACGATCCCTCCTCCCCTCTGTATCAATTTCACCCCAGGAAATTATTATAGTAATGTAGATAACTGTTTACCTATTGAACAAGGGTTAAGATACCGGAAAGATTTTCTTGAATTGGATGGTTATACTTATTAAGGAATAAGATCAGAAAAATGAAATATACATGGCAATCGTTGTTTATTTTAAATCTTGACGATTTAAAAAAAGGTTTGTGAACTGGGAACAGAAAGAAGTAGGTAAAGTCGTCGTAGATGCTGTCTACTTTAAGAGCATTTGTATAGAACACTTTCTGAAGATGTACCGTGCAAGAATGATGACATGAATTATTTAGGAAATCTCGGCAAAATGGTGTAATTTCCAAAAATGATACCAAAAATAATTACCAAAAATCGCAACAGGATGAGAACAGTTTATCACAAAATCATATCAATAAGGATTTGTCTATTACAGAGTAATTTTCCTTCAAAACCCAGCGAAAAAAGAGTTTTCTCTTTCAGCGATGACTTTGACTTCACTCTGATACACTGAGCTTAGTGAGCACTGACAGGGTGTGGCTAAATTCGTTTTAGACAGGAAATGATTTTTTGCTGAGGGAAAAATACTTCCATGGAGGATTGTATATAATTTTCTGTCACTTTTATTATATTTTATTTCTGTCACTGTTACACGTTTCACAAATATGTTCTCTTGGTACATGCATAATAAACATCACTTATAAATCTTAAAAATGTCATAAATGCATAAAACACTTCAGTGATCGTAAATTATTTAGCATTATACTGATATTGTTTACTTTTCTGTCAGCAGCATAGTACTTATATCAGGAAACATTCAATTCTTAATCTGATAATCTGTAAAAAAAATTTTTCTTTGGTCTCTTGCTTTTGCCTAAAGAAAGGAGCACGTGTCCTTTCTAGGCTAAGAAAACTGTTTGGTATAATTTGCATCATAATTACTTTTTATTTCCGGTTGGAGTACGTAAGAATAATTTGTGTGTGTGTGTGTGTGTGTGTGTGTGTGTGTGTAAGAATTTTAATATACATGGAAATCCCTTTTAATATAATCGTATTGACACTTGAATAATGCCAATTCACATCTGGTCAGTTCATCGTTTATAGCTATCTTATCCGGGATTTTCCCTCCAAAGCGAAAAATAGGCAGTCTCCTCTTTCTCACAAATCATCGCTAGACAATACCTTTAAATTTCATAATGAAATTCCTTACAAGTCGATAATGATGACGTGTGCGTATTGAAATAATTGAAAGTGAAATTAGGGATTTCCCTGCGATATTTGGCAGGCAAAGCAAATAACTCCTTATCTGGAAGCTAAGTACTATCAAACATTATCATGGGCGGAATGTGAGCAAAACAGGCTGTCACTGATACATTTGTATGCACTGATTTCCATATGCCAATAATAGAACTCGTGACTGATAGATTGATGTCTCAAAACTGTTCCTGATTGAATTTCATTGGTCTAAAAATAATTATGTTTAAAGATTTTTTAACAACGCTGTTAGCGCATCTAATTAATAACTATTAAAAACTTTGGTTTTACTGTGAGGGGTGGCTGGGCAAGGATGGATAGGATTGTAAACAATTTTTCTTTCTTTACACAGCACACTGTAAATCCAGAAAATGTTCTAATTTTGTAACAGCATTCCATTCTATTTACAAAATTTAGCTATTAATAATAAAATCCGAAAACTCTGAACTTTTATTTTCAGTTAAGCCAGACGACAAGCCCAAATACAAATGTGGCAACCCTATCATTTCACCTTTATTACGGGATGCCGAAGATGAAGAAGCACCAAGTCTCCGCATCGTTATGGGGACTAACGCCAGGAGAGGCAGCTGGCCTTGGCAGGTGCGATACGTGGGGCGGTTGAAATGATACTGAGAGGGGGGGGGATCAGATTCTAAGTTTTTAGAGGCACTGTTTATTGTTTTCGTTTGCGAGACCATTGATCATCAATGTCTAAGAATTGCACCAAAGTGAAATATCAGTAACTTGGCATATCTTCATGTCAACGCTTCATTAAAAACGTGCGAAGAAAAAAAACAATTAAAGGACACTTCCTTTCCTTTGTTGCCGACCAGATAAAATTAATGAATCTTTATCATTTTTGATAATTTTTTGTGTGTCATACGCTTGAAAACCTATGAATCACTATGAAACTATGAAAAAAAACAGTGGTTTTAGTTTTTGTTGTTATATTTTTATACTGTTTATCAGTCATTTAAATTTTCTTCAGTTAAATTTTATCCTATGTGAATGAAAACTTTTAGCAACTAAAGATATCAAACCTACTAATTAATAGATAGAAATAACACGATGTCGATTCTCTCCAACTTTATATGGCAATATGAAAGGAATCTTTTGTTTTCTACCATTTTTTATATTTTTGCGATCTCCAGGCTCTGCTCCGGTTTCGTTTATCTCTGGACCCCACGCGGCCAGTGCTGACTTCTTCGGTGGCGTTGTGTGGTGGAACCCTAGTAAACAAGGACTGGATTGTTACAGCAGCTCACTGCTTTGATGATCTACCGTAAGCCGGGACGCTACGTGATTTCTCAGAATCTTGCAAACCTCTTTCCCCTACTCACACCGATACACAGACCCAAGTGCACACACAAATACATACACGTGCAGACCCACAATTACACAACCAGTAGCAAACGAAAGCCAAAAAATACTAAGTATAAAGATAATTAATGAAACTTAAGCCTAGATTACATTTGCCATACGATGTCCGTAATGCAAGGAGACTGAAAGGGCTCCAGACGATCACCTTTAACCGAAAAACCGATTTTCCTCACGTGACGTTAAGGTCATGTCTATGGCTTAGAAATGGCACGGTACCTGCACGTTATGTAAACGTACTTGCCGTTGTCCATAGCCATTTACCTTGTCAAAAAATCGTACGGAAAATGGCAAACGGTTTCATCGTGCGGCCCCCGTGGTAAATATAATCTAGGCTTTAAGTGAGTATCTGGCATTTTAAATTAGCTTTTGATTAATGACCGCCTATAACAGCTCAAAATCGATATTTCTTTTTCACTTCATCAAAAAAAGGGCCTCTGAAATTGAAATTGGAATGGGGGCGCTCACTCGTTTTTGTGTACTTAGATTTCACACAAGGGTGCATGTAGAAATGTTATCTCATATAAGAGGTATGTCACAAACCATAACGAAATTAGTGGGGGGTATTTATTCAGATAGAAATATCATAAGAAATGATAATCGATTCCTTTAGGCTTCTCGCAGTTGCTACCCCATTTTTCATGAATTCGTGATTAAGTGTCGATTCGTTTAAACACTAGGGCATGTGTCTTTACCATTTATCACAGTCGATGGACTTAATAAACTATTGTTCATGGTGAAAGCTTTGAATTTATAACCCTCGATACAAAAAAAGATGTACTTGGCAGGAAGTTACACGCTGGGCAGTCCATCTTGGACGAAATTGTTATATTCGCCCAAGTTTTAAGGTATTTTCACAAGCCTTAAAACATAACAGTTATGTTTGTCTCGTTTTTATAATCTTTTTGAAATGGCATTTTCATTTTTTACTAATTAATTACTTCATCTTTTGTTAATTGTTTTGAAACCATTTTTACTTTACAAAGTACCAGAAGGGGGGTACAGCTGTGTACATTCCCTGTAATCATAACGCAAGCAAATTTCTACTACCAGTTTCTTAGACAACATGAATAAACACAAGTTACACAACATAAATAAAATCCTCATGCGAAAAAACGTAAATAAATAAATAAATAAATAAATAAAATAAAATAACCCAAATTAATGACTCTGTTAGCAAAAAAAAGCATCTTAAAATTTCTGGTCGTAATTTGACTTCCTTATAAAGATTGGGGGATTATGAGTTTTTAGAAAATAATGTATTGAAACTCTACAGTATCTCTTAAAGTTATACAATTCGAAACTATATGTTGCCATTTGGTCGGGTTTTATAGCGATATTTTGACATGTCTACTCTGTCTATGCATCTTTAAAAGAAAGGAATGACATTTATCTAAAATAAACAACATAAACAGTTTCATAGGGTAAAAGTTAATCGATCAGAGTTTTGAATACACCAATAAATTTTATTTTCATTGCCTTTCAGCGGGGTAGATATAAACTTCAGAGACGAAAGAAGGTGGTATGTGCAGCTTGGAAAATATAACAAAAACATGCAAGAATCAACAGAACAAACGTTCCAAGTTCAGAAATTACTGGTCTATCCCAAGTACAACAGAACTGTGAGGTACGATGCAGACATTGCGTTGTTAAAGCTCAACGAATCGGCCGACATGACGGATTTCGTGCAGCCAATATGTCTCGGGAAATTACCGCCAGGGCGTAGAGGCAGAGAGCTGTGCTATATCACTGGATGGGGAGACACCGAAAACGGTAAGTAGGAAGGAAAAAATCGAAAACTCTGAACAGAATGGCCATCAAGTGGGGATGGGTTGAATCTTATCCTAAATTTTAAAGTATTTAATTATAAATCAGCTAGATTCACGAAAATGGAAGAAAAAAAGAAAAGAAAAGAAAATGGAAGAACATGTTATTATCAAGACAAAACGACTGAAAATTGATGAAATCATAATGGTGATAAATAGACTAGGAATGGGTTCTTCAGGTGTAGGACACGGTCTTTGTGGCTTGCACCTTCATGAACATGAAATAATAAGATAAGATAGTAGTGGGGAAACTGAGAGATAATAATCGAAAATCCTATATTCTAGGCCCATATAATGGAAATCTGAACCAAGCTCAACTCCCTGCATTGAGCGACAAAAAGTGCTCGCGTATCTACGGTGAGAGGGGTGTGAAATTGACCAAGAACATGTTCTGTGCTGGAGAGACTGGAGACCCGCCTGTGCCTGACGCCTGTTCCGTGAGGCTTTATTCTTCATACATTATTTATTTTCACTCAGTTATATACTTGTACCCTGTGAATTGTTATTTATTGAAATTCTGAAGTGAGTATCAAAATATCAGAGCAATTCATGTTGAAGCTTTTCGAATCGTCTTCTTTAAAAATTGTTCCAGGTTTGTGCAACTCTCTCTCTCTCTCTCTCTCTCTCTCTCTCTCTCCACACAGGCTTGGAATAAGTCATATTATTATTTCAGGCCGACAGCGGCGGTCCTCTTGCATGTCGTTATAAGAACAGGTGGATATTGTATGGTAGGTATTCACGAGGTTGCAA